CTATTTTGACCGGAAAAGGAGGTTCTTAATTTTCAAAAGCTTTAAAAAGTGAACTTTCTGATAAAGAGATTCTTTATTTTCACAAGTTCTAACAAAGCGAAATTTCTTTCGCCCTCAAATTTTAAAGACAAAGCCAAAACCACTCACCATACCATCCACTTGCCCAGAAAAAAGGCAAGGATAAACATATTAATATTTGTATAGGTCTAGGGAGAAAAGAAAATTTTATGAAAAAGACTGCCATGTTTTCTTGGGTTTGATGGAAAAAGATTGGTTTCACTATTAATTTAATAATTAAAGCGACTTGTCAAAAAAAAAAAAAAAACAGTTAGGAACACATTTCGAAACACATTCAAATGCTAAAGTTACTAAAATATAAAAAGTATACTGAAAATGTATCGGATGCGTCAGACTCAACAAAGAGATAAAACAGAAAATGTATCAGATGAGATAATAATATTTAAATATATATTGAAAGAATAGCTGATATCCAACTAGTAGCCAAGAGGGCCGACAAACAATAAATCATGGTTGGTTTTGCATAATGCACGGTTGCAATCAAGGATGCACCACCATTACTTTGGTTGGTCGTTCATTTTCATTTCTCAATGTCTGAATGTGGACCTGACACTAAAATAATTTTTGAAATCATCCAATATGGATCGGAATTAATGACTGGTAGAATTATTTCCTGCTCCTGATACTTTTTTTTTGTGTGTTTGAGTGAGTGAATTTGTGGGTTAATGCAATGTAAAATGTGTGAAAACAACCATCTGAAAATCAAAAGAATACGCAGAACACTGATAATTTATTGAATGTAGGCAGCCATACTCAATTAACTGCAGAAATAACCAAGCATGAGCTATGTAATTAATCAAAATTACAACAGAATCTGCTTTGTGAACTCGTTCAAAGAGCCCCATGAAGAACCGCCTTGGCTTAAACAAAGCTCTGCTTTCTCCTTCAAATCCATAGCGTTCTTTCTCATCTCCTCTCCCTCCATATACACCATTAGTCTTTTTATAGCTCCTTCAATATTTCCTCTTTCCAACTTATCCTGCAATTTCAAGCCTATTTTCCAAACATGACAGATGTAATTTGAGTTCAAGAATTGGTCTCCAAAGAAAGGCTTGCATAGCATTGGTACCCCTTCACAAATGCTCTCGATGGTTGAATTCCATCCACAGTGACTCCAAAATCCACCCACTGCAGCATGCGCCAACACTTCCTTTTGAGGCGCCCATTTCGAAATGTAACCTCTTTCTCCCACACTCTCCTGCAACCCATTTGGCAATGACTCAATCCATTCGGAGCCACGAATCAAACCAGGTCTAACCACCCACAAGAAGGGTTGTTTACTGTCAGCTAGCCCCCAAGCTGTCTCAATAGTTCTTGCTCATCGATGCTGGCCAAGCTACCAAAGCTTACATAGATGACAGATTTCGGGGCCTGTTTGTTAAGCCAAGAGATGCAGTTAGCATCCTCCGTTCGTAGTGAGCTGCAAATGGTTGGAGCTAATTTGTGAAATGGCCCTATGGTGAAAATTGGAGCAGGGAAGTATTCTTTGATCTTTGACAGTGCTGCTCGTTCAAGGAAGTCCATTGTGCTCACAATTATAGCTGATGAGCTCTTCTCCGCGTTATTGAATGCAACTCTCACCTCTATCAATGCATCCGTTGAATTCTGTGATAGTATCGTACGAATGTGTTGAAGCTGAAGGGATTGAAGCTCTGGCACTTCGTTTGCAGAAAAAGAATCTTAACGCAAATTTAAAGAGTTTAGGATCAGTGGATTGAATAGTTTATCATGATTGCAGACAAAAATTATGTATAATTGCTTTGTCGTTGAAATTGGATATGATTTTTCCATAGAGTGCAAGGTTATTGCCAGACAGAAAGTCCTTGTGATGCCTTCAGGCTTTTGTTATAATAACGTTATAGAAATTATTCCAAGGAATTCTTCCGCAAAATTATATAAATTTTAATTTCCAATTGATAATCATGTATAGAAATTGATGCACTTAGTGACACATGAAAACAAGTATACCTTTCCGATCAAGATGAGGAAGCACAGGATCGAGCAACAATGATGCAGCTACACTTGTACGCACAGATATTCCAGGCAGGCTCAGGTCATCAGCAACAGTTTGAGCACAGTACATGAATGTATCATAGAGGATGCTGGAAAAATGATCATGCGAATCTTTCTGATGCGTTATCCTTTTCATGCATTCCTGAAATGGTGCTGCACAGTTGTTGTTGACACGCAGCACAAAATTTGCAAGATCTCTATCTGAGATTTCAGATTCGGTTAGCTTATCTGGTATCGGGATGAAGGTGAATTCGGGGTAGTTTGAAGGGTTAGGAGAGTTCACTTCAGGGTGAACTATAGTAATTGAGAAACCTTGCGAGTGTAAGATAGCAGCTAGCTGAAGCATGGGAGTTATGTGGCCTTGAAATGGGAACATAACAAGCACCAAATGACCAGACTTCTGTAGTTTCTCCATTGCTTTCTCTGTTTCTCCCGACATTTTGGTGAAGTCAATGGTGGGATATTTGCATCTGGAGGGGAAGGCAACAAACTTATAATAAGAGGGGCTGAAATAATAAACCAAATTGAGAAAAGTATAGAATCCTTTATATAAATGCTTCAGATCTACGGTGAACATGTCCACAGCGGTCCACGTGTCAATACTCCATTGACCTTTTTTTGTTTTTTATTTTTTTCTCTTTAAGAGAAGATGTACGTGCCGCGCATGTGATTTTTCAGTTGCCACGTGTCTCCGTTCTATTCGTCATTTTTCTTTTTTTTAATTAATAAAATTTTAAAAAGTTATACGATATATATTTGTAAAGAAGTTATTTTTATATGTATTAATTTGTTCCAAATCGATGCCTAGTCCTTATGTCACGGATCTAAGAGAGAGTCTTGAATCCCACATCGAACATAATAGGGAGGTCACTGGGGTATAAAAGGGTTCACACCATCTCCGTCTTGTGAGGCGTCTTTTGTAGGATAAAATCGTGAAGCCAGGAGGGTCAGAGCGGACAATACCTCACAAGGGTGTGAATCGTGGCGGTCAGGCTGATCCGAGACGTCGGAAGGGTAAATGCCCGGGTCCCGAAGCCGCGCGGGTTTGGAGCTTAAGTCTCGACCCGTGACAAGTGGTATCAGAGTCAGCCCTATACTGTTCGATCCACGTTGAGCACCTCGAGAGAGGTAGGTAGGATGGTCGGTCTCCGTGACGAGAACGTCACGAGGTTGGGTGCGACAGAATGTCACAGACCTAAGGGGGAGTCTTGAATCCTACATCGAACATAATAGGAGGGTCACTGGGGTATAAAAGGGTTCACACCATCTCCGCCTTGTGAGACGTCTTTTGTAGGACAAAATCGTGAGGCCAGGAGGGTCAGAGCGGACGATACCTCACAAGGGTGTGAACCGTGACGGTCAGGCTGATCCGAGACGCCGAAAAAGTGAATGCCCGAATCTCGAAACCAGTTTAAATCTCGACCCGTGACACCTACACCTCACACTTCAAGACCCAAATTTGGTTCCGGAACAAAGATGGTAGAAATATCATTTTTCGGTGGCCAAATTTCACAAAAAATCACTGAAAATCCAAAACTTTTGGGTTTTCCAGAATCATGATACTTTAAAGCCTTGATTCTCTTATAATATAAAGAATCTGTTCAAAACACTTTGATCATTGGAAAGAACACATTTCATATTATAAAAATAATCAAAAAATTAATTTAATGATTAAAAATATATGAAAAGATATTAAAAATCTGATTTCGAATCAATTTTTTTTTTTTTTTTATTCTTATTAAAGCTTTACCCTATGATGTAACAAAAAAAAATTGACCAAAAACATTACCAGAAGATAGATTTCCAGCGACCTAAATTTGGGTAATCAAAACAGTCAAAACCCATTTTATTAAAATATTCAAAAATTGATTTTTCTCAAAATATGAATGACGGAAAATTTTAAAAAATTTGAAACTAAAGTTGAAAGTTTATAGAAATTACTCAAAACAACAAAAATTTCAAGAATTTGGCTTAATCTCACTTCAAACTTTGAATTGCAATCTTAAAATCTCAAAGTGGCAGCCTCCCTTATCTCCCGCTATTTTTTTAGAGAAAAAAAATTTATATTGGAGGTAAAATCAGGATATTTGCATTATTACCCCTCTAACAGTTTTACTATAAAATTTAGTCCCTCTGGCTAAATTGTCCAATAACTAAACCTATGCAGTTTAGTCCCTCATGTAATATTATCTAATAATTAACAAAATAAATCACTCACTTCAATTCTTTAGTAATATAACATAGTATATAACAAAATTTTGGGATATTATATTTATTATTATTTCACATAATTAAAAAAAAAAAAAACTTATATCTGATGTATAAAGGCATTCTGACCAAACAATTTGTTTTTGTTAGCCAAAAAATGCCATTGAAGAAATTGAAGTAAAGCTTCCTCAACAAATTTGCTAGTTTTATTGTCTTTATTCTTAACACAATAGTCTTTTTGAGTTTAAAAGCGAGATAAATAGTTTTTGTTATACCAGAAAGCTGTTGATATCTGCACAAATTTATTGGATCCAGGCAGCCATAGCTTCAGGCTGTAATGGATCTCAATTTGATCAAACAAGCACGCCATACCTTCTATCTTCCCTCTATCTTAACTCATTCTCCAATTCCAGGCCTATTTTCCACCATAACAGATATACCTCATGTTTCAGGGCAGACGTTTTAAGAATTAGGCATAAATCCGAAACACAAGGCATAGATTGGTGTTCAATCAAAAAAAGAAGAGAAAATGACTTGCTTTTATCACTCTTTTAAATTGTAGACAAGATATGAATTTAAGTTATCACTTCAGAGATTTCATCAATAACTAAATTAATTCTGTTCCTGGTGAGGAATGACTAATAATTTCTGCAGACAAAGAACAACAGTTCAGCTTCCAACTAATAAAACATAGCTGGTTTCTAACATTCAGGTTGCCTTCTTCCAGCCCTTTTATACCTACTTAACATCCATAACATGAAGTAAAGAAGGTGTATCCCCACAAGAACAAACATGACCATTACCACTATATATATGACGTTAAATTCTATAGGTGCTATGTACACTATTGTACAGACAAAATCTGCAGACACGGCAAGTACAGCAACCCGCAACAACAGTTTAAGAGGGAACTCTCTGGTGAGCATGAGGATTATGACAACAGAAACGAAAAACCCGATCGAGCTGAAAAATATTACAAAAAGAAACATTATTGCATCAGATGCAATGATAGCTATTCCAGATGAATGTACTGGATTTGGATCTTCTTTTGAATCAAATTGTCGATATCCACCTGGAGGGCTAAGAACCGATTGGTAGGTGACGGTTGCAATCAAAACAGCCACCACCATCAGTGCATTTTGCATTTCTGGCTTTGAGTTTTCAATTTCTTGGCTTAAAGTTGACCACATCTTCCAGACAAATGAAACCTCCTTGACTATAAATTTCCAAGGCATCCAAAGGTCACAGTCATTACACATTTTTGGGGTTAGATTGTTTTCAGGAAGGTGATGACTAGTGGCATTATTTTCTCCATCTTGATAAGAATCAAAATTTGTTTGTCGATCGTCTTGATGAGTAGCAACTGTTGAAGTAGAAGCCTCAATTATATCCTGATGACTTCTATGTGCCCCTGCTTTTTGAAGCATCTTGCGAATCTCATGATCCATAGCATCATCCACGGTTCGTCTTGAATGGAATAACATATCCAGGGCTGTGTAACCACTTTTATTTTCGGAATTCACTTCCACTTCCAGGTCAAGCAACAGTTTTGCTACCTATTGGCCAAAAGAAAACTCCAGTTATTTGCGGATAAATTATCTAATGCTGATCATGTTCATTTGATCAGTTCCATTATTCAAGTTTAACTGTATTTATTTTTCAAAATATTCTCAGACATCCATTATCATAAATAAATGTTTGTCTAAGATGTCGCATGACTAACCCAAAAAAAAAAAATTGTCATAAGTATCTTCGCTTGCTTTTCTTGGCAATAACTCATCTTTCTTAGTATCAGAGGGGAAAAACTGAGCCATAAACCTTTAAAATCCACAGATTCCCAAAGTCATGTTAATGTTATGCTCTGATTTTAATTTCGGATACAATTATGGAAGCACAGAATGTCATGTAAATGAAAATGTTCTCTCTAACTTAATCATTTTGATTTGGAAAAGGAGATGGTTGGAAAGGTGAAGATAAACAAGAAAGTTAAGAATTCTTACTCGAAATTGCTTCCTAGCAACTGCAATGTGTAAAATTGTGTTGCCATCACAGTCCTTAGCATTCACAAGCCTCTTTACTTCTTCAGCGTTGATCTCCTTAAGCTTTCCCAAAAGCATTTCGAAAGCTTCAACCTGGTTGTTTTTCAATGAAATGTGAAGTGCAGTCTCATCTTGATCTGTCAAATCAGCCTTACATTCAGGACAACTGTTGATGAGCGTCCTCAATACATCTACCCTCCCTGTGATAGCAGCAAAATGGAGAGCTGTTCTTCCATCAGCACTCTTTTGTCGACTCAGTTCTTTGTTACTCATCAAAAGGTCTTTCACTATGTCTACATATCCATTTACCGAAGCCATGTGAATTGGACTAAACCCATCCCTATTGATCCTCTCAGCCAATTCAGGCTTAAAACTCATAATCTCTTTCACAAAATCCACACTCCCAGCTAGTGCTGCAACATGCAGGCAAGTCTCTGCTATGCTGTCTAATGAACCTCGTTCAAGAATAAGTGGATCCTCATCAAGTAGTGCACGAAGTGAACTAGTATTTCCCGTTCTTGCAGCTTCATACAGTCTCAGATCCATTAGTGCTAGTGATGAATATGGATTATATAGTTCATTTCATGCAAAATCTTCATTTAAAAGGTAAAATAGATTAAGCGTTTAACAGGGAAAGATAAGGCACAGAAGTCAAGTCAATGGACAGCTGTGACTAAAGGAGTTGACGTCCAAGTCAATTACATGAAGTTAAGTTGCAATGACACTGCCTTTCCCATGAAAGAATTCTCTTCGCTGCTTAAAAAGTAGTGAAATATTCCACTAATTTATTTAAAGATTAATAATGTACATTCATTTAAATTATTTTTATTTTTAATTAATTTTTAATTAATTTAAAATTATTAAAATTTAACTGTAGATTTAAATTGATATATATTATTAACTGTTAAATAAATTAATAAAAACTTTTACTATTTTTTTAATAATGAAGAGGATCATTGCCCGATTAATCCGATCACTCATTAAACATGGTCGTTGTGTGTTACACGATTGGTCAAGGAAAAGTTCTGCTACATTTTCAGTCTGGCTGATTTGAAAAAATTGGACTTTCGCTTGGTGAGGATATTTGGTATCGATTGAGCCACGTCATTAAGTACTGTTGAAAATGAAAATACAAAGTTTATCTACGGAGAGAAAAAAATTTAAAAAATCGAAAATTCTTAAAAATTAAAATACTCGATTCAATTTAGATTAAATTTTTTTTATTCTTTGGATTAAATTTATATATTAAATATATATTAAGTGTAGATTTAATATAGATAAAAATTAAAAATTAAAAAAAATCAAATTATATATTTTTATTAATTTTTATATATATTTTAAATTTTTATCAAAAAAAATAATTATTTTATATCAAAATTTATTTAAATAAATTAAAATTTTATTAAAATAATATATAAAAATTTAAATTTTTAAAAATAGATAAATCATATTAAATCGAATTGATAAAATTTTATTTAAATCAAATTAAATTATAAAAAAAATTATTTAAATTTGAATCAAATTTTAAAAATTTATAATGTTATATATTATTTATAAAAATCGAATTAAATATTATTCAAACCATCATCATTTGTAATTGCGAAAGAATAAAAATCATTTTGCACTTAAAAAAAGTTATAAAAATAATAAAATAAGGAAACAAAGGAATTAAAAATTTAATTGTATTTAATTATATATATTGTTAACATTATTCATCGCAACTCAAAGCTTAATAATTTCATCATTTTTCCATTTAAAGAATTGGTTTGACAAGAAAGGCTTGCATTTGCATAGCATTGGTACCTTAAAAGCTTTTTCATTTGCTTTCGCAAATACTCTCGAGTGTAGAATTCCATTCGCAGCAGCTCCCAAGTCTCCCACTGCCGCATATTTTTGTTTCATAGCTTTAAAATAAAAACTTTGTTCAGCTTTGAATGATCCTAAAAGCTTGGTTTGACCTTGGTTTAAGTATAAAAACCATCAGAAACTCAAATGCCATTAAGCCCAAATTCAAAATCTTTGTCAAAGAGATCAAGAATATCTTAATTTGAAGGCCTAAAATACATGATATTATAAAGTATAAACCCAAAAGCCCCTTACTTCCATTGATGTGTTTGTACTACAAATACCTAAATTACGATGTGTAGTACAATGATACTAGCTAAAACCCACTTCGCCTTTACAAAAATCTAGCCTTGGAAAAATGATTTAAGTACATTCAAATTTAATCTCCTTAGACTAGAGACAGCACCATTGCATTTCTTCACGTTTTATATATGTCAATTTCACTTTTGTTCCCTTTAAACCTGATATAATTGTAAGTTTGAAAAAGGTTGGATAACTTAAGAGAACAGTTGTTACTTAGTGGAGCACTTTATAATGTACTAAAACTCATGGTAGTACAAGAAAATGAACTCTCTAAAGTACATCATAGTTGGAAAAATTTGTCTGCAATCCCCCTTTTAAATTGCTTTCAGTGAATCCAGTGGGAATCATGAAACAAAGCAAAGAAAATATCATGAAGATGGGACACATGACATTCTTTTGGGGCAAGAATACAGAAGATATATTTCCTGGATGGCCAGGTCGAAGTTTGTGCTCTTATTTCCTTGGTTTAATTTGGGTGTTTCTTCTTTCATTGCTGGTAGAACGACTTTCCCATACCAGGTTCATCAAGCCAGGCACCAACCATGTTACTGCAGGGCTTTTGCAAACACTGATGTATGCTATCAGGGTTGCTTTGGCTTACTTGGTAATGCTGGCTGTCATGTCATTTAATGCTGGTGTTTTTTTAGCTTCGATTGCTGGATATGCTGTCGGGTTCTTTGTTTATGGTAGTCGAGTTTTTCGGAAATTCGAGTTTGTTCCCTACGAGGAATCTTTTGATATTCCTCCTCTAAATTGTTGATAAAAAAAACAAAGTTAAATATTAAGTAGATGTGAAAAATCAATTCAGGTTAGACAACTGTGAATTTGTGATGACTTACAATATAAATATTTGCCGTTTGCACACGATGTTGCGCCTTGTTACCTTTGTGACTGCTTCCATTTTTGGACCTTATCAACCAAATCTTCATCCCAAAGATTTATGCATTGGACTATGTCCTAGAAGCTCCTATGAGTCTCCAGCACCAAGTGTAATCGTTGCACATCTATTAAGTTAGAGTTTGAATTCTACCGTATTTTTAGTATGGTACAATTAAATTTATCATATTATCAACTAAATTTAAATATCAATTTCAATTAAATTTATTCGTATAAATTTTTTTATTAAATTTATTTTTAATTGCGATTATAATAATTATTTTTTTAATATTATTTTCAATCTCGTTGATACCAATTTCACCGTCAAACCATAAGCCATTAAACTACACACGCAGTCCCTCTGTTCTTAGCAGCACTTAGCTAATCAAGAATATTACAATCATCTGATTCCTGCCGACCGAGTCAAGCAGCTTAATGGTTATAATGAGAAGCGATTCTTGATCCACGAGACGGCATTGGTCTGTTTTATGGCAAGGTTTCGAGATGAGCCATGGCGGACAATCAACCCTCTACATCTCCTGTCAAGCTTTGAATTACTTAGGGTGAACCCAATAGGATCAGAGGTTCCAGAAAATTGCTGGTACTCAACATAAGAATCACACTGTCAGTGATTTCCAGAAAAACTTATGAAATTGTTCGTATCAGAAATCGAGGTTTTCGGTTGGTCCACAGGGTTTCTTTTTGGGCCTATAAAAATCTGGCAGCATCATCTTTTAATAGCCCAACAGCCTAAACAAGTAGTGTAATTTATTTATTGTAATTGAATAGATTTGATAATTTATATCATCTTATCATGTAAAATATTATATTTATATTATATTTTATATAAAAAATTAATTTTTATAATTATATCGATACAAAAATATAAAATATAATTTTTATTTTCATTAAATTTATTTATAATTTTTTTAAAATTTTAAATATTTTTAATTTATATCGTATTATATTTAAAATTATTAAGTCTATAATTGAATTATAATTAACACTTTATCACTATTATTATCATAATAAGCACGACATTAAAATAATTGGAAGTTTGTGGAAATTTTATTAATAATGATTACAATTGACATGAAAATTAAACTTCTAGGCTGTAATTGGACTGAGCTTCTTGAATTGATGATGTATACTCAAAATTGTTTTGACTACAAATTATAAAATTTGGTAAAAAAATTAGGAATTATGGCAAGTTTTTCATCACTATTATTATTATTCTACTTATTTGAACTAAAATAAAAATCTGTTTGAGTTTATTCATTAATAAGTTTTGAAATTCAGTCAACAATATAAAATGTATTCTCTTGTAAGTTATAACTTCACTTGTTAAGTATTTAGGCTAATGTAATTTTTAGTTATTTTTTTAAATAAGATTGTCATAATTAAATTTTGATTATTGAAATTAAAATTTTGATACTCTATTAAAATATTAGATAATTTCTAATATGTTTCGATTATATCAATTCAAACCCTAATACCGGGCAAAGCGTAAACATGACCACTAGAAACGTCAAAGGAATAGATAGGCTGATCGATCATAATCATGGACTTAACCTTTTGGCATTAAGCACCCTCTTAGAAACACTCAATATATGGATTTCTATTTACTATTAAATCCCAATATAACTTGTAAAACCTCCTTAATTACCATCAAATTGCTTTTTTATTCTTTTATATGGTTAATGGTTGATGAAGATAAATATCCTGAAATTATACAAGATCCATAAATAAGATTCTAATTCAATAGTGAATTTTTTTTTTTTTATTAACTAAAAAACCACATGTAGATCATAGGTCTCAAAAGAAACTTTTATAATTCGTTAAAAGAAAATTACTTTAACAAAAATCAAACCTAAATTTTATAAACAAAGTATTCAATCTTTACCAATTAAAGTAACTCTGGTTGGTTATTCATTATATTTCATATATTGTCGATATGAATATTAGAATTTATATATTATCTTATCAATATATATAATTTTCATCAAGAAATATATTTTTTTAAATAAGAGGGAGAATTAATACTTGAATTTAAAATAGCTTACCCAAATCTCATCATGACAGCTTAGAATGAGTGTAATATTTTGATCACTCAATAATTTTATCGGACACCTACAGCTATGTACATATATGTGTTGCTTCATTCAAAGTATATACATCAAGTTACCAATGAACTTTGGCTTATGGTCTATTCATTGACTATTCCATTGCAATTCTTGGAAACCCCTAATCCCATTAACATGTACTACACATTACAACTTGCAATGTACTATCAATTCGCGTAACAGCAGCTTCCTCTGTATATAAACCAAACAAAATACTAGAGATTCTGCTGTTTCCACCACGTAAAAACCTCACAATATTTCACAACTCAAGGCGCCAGAGGGAATTGAGAAAAGAGCAATGGACAATTTGAATATGAATCATGACCACATGTATGGCATGGACAACGAATCAGTTGGCGGGATGATGCACATGACATTCTTTTGGGGCAAGAACGCTGAGGTTCTCTTCTCAGGATGGCCAGGAACCAGAACCAGCATGTATCTCTTAGCCCTGATAGTTGTCTTTGTGTTCGGTTTCATGGCGGAGTGGATCTCTCACTCCCAATTGATCAAGCCTGGGTCAACCCGCCATGTGGCTGCAGGTCTTGTTCAGACTTTGATGCATGCTTTGAGGGTTGGTCTTGCATACTTGGTGATGTTGGCTATCATGTCTTTCAATGGAGGTGTCTTCTTGGCTGCTGTGGCTGGGCATACTCTGGGGTTCTTGTGATTTGGCAGTAGAGTTTTCAAGAAATCCTCTGCCCCTCCCCCTGCCTCTGCCCCTGGAAAAACATCCGATGTTCCTGCTGTGAGTTGTTGAATACAAGAATTGATTTCAGTTCTTGATGGTGCATGGATTTGTTCCTAACCCTTCGTTTCCTTTATGAATTAGTGTAATTTCTGAAAGTAATGTACAACTTATGCTTGAGTTTTTGTTTGAGTTGTATTTTCTTAGCTTTAATCTATGCTTTGCTCTATATTTGTTTTTTCAATTTACAAAAAAGAATTCCATAAATTGCTGAAAAAATAGGGATTCTTTTACTTATTAATATCCTTTGGCCTAATTGGGTCAAATTTTGTGGGTGCAAAAATAAATAAATAAATAAAACAAATGTAAAAATTTGATAAAATTGTTGATATTCTCCAAGTATTATGAATCACTATGGAAGAGTCCATTCAACATTTATGTCTAACGAACGTGGGTAGGGATTTAGAATGCAATGGCGGTCATATTTTTTGTTATATTGTATTTATCATGTTATAAATATAACGAATAAGATAATAGCAATTGTATTCATTGCAGTCGTAAATTTTTTTTAAAATTTTTACAATTTATCATAAAATGAAGCAAAAAAAAAATAATTTGATATAATAAGATTATTTATGATATTTTAATTTTACATTTATAGGCTAAAATAATTTTTCACATATTTTAGTTATAACTTAGAATTAATATGTTATAAAATTCATAGATATATTAAAGAAAAGCATAAATATCAGTTTTAACGTCCCCTTATGGGCCGTAGTTTTTTGTTATATTGTTATTTTGGAATGCAATAAATTGTTATTTGTGTAAATAACAATTCACACCTCTATTATAGTAAATAACAGTGGCGAAGGACGGCATTATCGCTAAATATAGTGGTGAGGATGCTATTTATGTCACCCCTCGAACTAAGGCATAATAGACACCGTACACCTGGAAAATGCAATCTTACAACTATGTAAGGCCAGAAACATACTAAGACTTATAAATATAAATGAGACAAGCATGACTAAAAACAAAAAGTTCATAACATTTAATATCTTTTAACACAAAAATGAAATATTTAAAAATTCATAAATCCCGAAATATCTAATTAAAGTCATAAACAACTAATTATAAAAGTTTGTACGACTGAGCATCTAAAAGAAATCCTAAAGGTCTTATAACAACAACTAAAGTTGTGGAACATCAATCCCCGAGATTCCTATGAGCATAATCAAAATCCGAACCTGTAAAACAAAAAATTAAAGAAAGGAATGATTATAATCACTCAATAAACAATTGACATCCTCTCAATTAGATTAAGCATATCATAAAACATTTAGGCCATGACAGTAACTAAATGATTCGAAACTATTTTAGATAATTTGGTATTCAAACACATTTCCATAAATCATATCCCAAAATCAGAATATCAAATTTCAAAGCAAAATAAAACATCACAAAATCATAAAATTTATTAGTCTCCCGTAATATATTATGACCACACTTAACCCATGTGGTATATATTATAATCATAATTTTCTTGTTAGTGCAATGGGACAAAGGTATATCAAAAGCAACTAGATAGTTGCATTGAACAATTATAATTAACTTGTTAGTGCAATGGGATAGAATAAAAATCATAGAAACCTTTTTACTGCAATGGAACAAAATCAACCCCTTTTCGTGTAATAGGACAGAAGTATATCACCGATGGTATGATGAACAAAAACTACTATTTTCAATTGATGGTATGATTTGAAATCAGTATCAATATTACAAAATACACGTTGATATGGCCAACAATTAACTCTCATTGACAGGGTCAGAATATAGTCATACTAGGAGACAAAACCAAAATATATTTTCAGATTACCTAATATAGACAAAATCGATTTTCATATACCTTCTCAAAAACATAATTCATACAAAGCTATTTTCATATCTACTCCAAAGCAAATTTTCATATTTTGACAATCGATGAGTATATAAATATATATTGATATGAAATCATATTAAAAAATCAAATAATACTAAACCATATTCCAAACTCATAACAAAGAAATCATATATATTTTTGCATGCTTAACCTGATTTACAAAATAAATGGACAAAACAATATATATTATATATTTCAACTTTAAACATATTTAGGCTGATTTTTAGGGAAATAAAAATCGAAGGGATATCAAGTCACTTACTTGATGCGTTAAACCAAAACTTAAGTAGCAAATCACTCAATTCTCTTATTATCCTAATAATTCAAAAAAATTTAAAAATCAAAATTTATCCTGATTACATAGATTTAATAAGGCAAACCTTTATCGGGTCATCTTAAGCAAATTAGGTTGTGTGACAACCTTTTCAATAACTCAAAACTATTTGAAAGTATTTTTTTTAGCATATAAAGCAAATTTTCTTTTAATATAGCAAAATGCTTAAAATTAAGTATAAAAATGAAATTAGTAATTAAAACATAAAAATAAGTAGAAATATAGATTTTTTACAAATATTTAACTTTAACATTTAATAGTTTTTTTTTTTTTTTTGTAAATCTGAATATAACTTAATAATCATTTAACAATATTAATAATATGGAATTAACAAAATAGAAATATGTTAAAATAAGTAAAAATTTATTTTAAAAAAATATGACTAAAACTCATGTAATTTATAATTAAGTAAATCAAATATTGTATGGAAACAATTTTTAAAATAATTAAAAATGAGAATTTTTAAATTCTAAAAATTTTACATTTTGTGATCATTTGATTTACTTTGAGCCATAAAAAGTTAAACATTCGATAGTTTCTGATCACAAAAGGAGGTACAAATTTAAAGTAGCGATGTAATACTACAACTTAGAATTTTGTTTGGAAAAAATTATTTCCCAAAACCTAAATTTCGAAGGCCAAAACTTGACAATTTATCACAAATAGTCCAGATTTTTTAGATTTTAGATTCATGAAGCTTATTTTGGGGTTTCGATTCTCTTAGCTTATAAATCATCTAAATAAACCAATTATACCATTAGAAAGTTCACATTTTGTACTATCAAAAGCAACTAAAGTTCAACCAAATTGGCCATCAGAGTAGGGAGTTCCAACGGCTCAAAATTAGGCGTCTGTAATTATAAAAATCCAAAAATAAAAAATTTAGAACACTAAATTCTCTTAAATTACTCAACTAATTGAAGTGCCACACATTCCATTAGAAAGGTTTTAAAGAGACCTCTCCATGAGTACCCACAATTTTGTCGGAATGTCGTCGAAAAGTCGTCGAAATATTTTTAAAGATGAAAAGATATAAAAATCTAGTTTGGGGTTTGTAGAAATTTAAGCAAATTAAACATGAAAATTTTAAGAGTTTAAGTAAAATCTTACCTAAATAAGAGATTTTTAGAATTGATTTGATGTTCTTTTTCCTCTCTTATTTTTCTTAAAGGTTAGTTTCTCCCAAATCTCTAATTTTTTTCTGACAAAAAATAACATTGAAAGTAAAACTACCTGTACACTACATGGTTTTGGTTTTTAGTGGTGTTTTTTTTTTTTTTTTTTTTTTTTTTTACGTTTAGTGGTGTTTATAAACACCACTAAAAGATTTGCGACGTTTGAGAAAAATGTCAATAAGAGTGTCGGCTATACACGCATTGCAGAAAATAACGACGTTTTCTATAAAACGTCACTATATTAACGGCGTTTGTATCTTTGACATGTTGCTAAATTTAGTGGCATTTTTTTTCATAAAAATTCTGTTACTTTGGTGGCGTTTGTATCACAAAAACGTCATTAATTCAGCATGTTTTCTAGCAAAAGCGCTGATATTTTTAGTGGCATTTTATGGTATAAATGCCACTAAATTATTCATTTAGCGACATTCTTGAACACAAACACCATGAAATTAAGAAATGTATTTTTTTAAATAAAAAATTTTTGTTAATATTTATTATTTTCATAAATAAGCTTAAATTCATATACTGAAATTAATATAAACTTAATTCACATTCAAATATGCATCTAATTAACACAAAATGTAATAATTAGTATAATAACAAAAAAAAAATTTAATACATTAACAAAATAAAAATTAAAATGTATGAAATTGATGACTGTATACATTTTAAAGGCTGCCAATTGATGAATGAATTTTTCAACATTGGTCATTAGCGTGCTTAAGAATCGACTGAATAATAGTATACAACTTTAACACTTCATTGTAAGCTTTTTTTATATTAAAAAATATAAATATTTACTAAATATAATACTTGAGTTGGAGGACCACCGAGATCAGTTTTTAAAAATTATTGTTGCATAAAATTCATAAGATGATTGAATCGATCATGCAACTGCTACAATTTTGCACGCTTTTACTCTATTCTAGCACATTTTTCCTTAATTTTGGCACTTTATGTTTTCTTTTTGCTTTCATTTGCTGAAAACGTTGCTGCATAATTTGTAACTCCTCTCTCAATATCAAAATATCTCACAAAGACTAACTTGTTGAGAATGTAAATTGCTGAGAGTTACGTCCATAGTAGGTAGATGGTATTGGACCTAATCCAAGGCCTCAAACCTACCCATGCCTTTCTTTTCTAGCAACTTTTATGAATATCCAATTTTTCAATTCTTGCATATTGAGAGAACCATCAGATACTAATTCATTCTCAGTAACCATTTTCTCTTTCACTTTTTCATATAAATTAGTCATATACAACTATCAAGTTTAATGATTAATTAATAATATATTAAAAAGAGTAAATATTTACTTTTTGTTAAGATAGATATTACAAATTACTATAATTTCTTGTGTTTTGATATTCATGTAAGATTCATCTTTTTTTGTATGTGTTAAGCGAAAAAGTTTCACACGTCCAATTTGACCATCCATTTCAATCTCCTATATAAAAACATATGTTATTTGATAGGATACATATCAACCGCAACTTATTCATACATATCATGCCTGTCAATCAAGTTTAAAATTTTCAAATAATTTTAATATCATGTATTTATATTTTGGCCCCTTTACAATACAATAGTCTTAAACAGATGCAAACAATAAAAGCATTTTGACCTTTCACATATATTGATCATGGCAACAAAATTCAATTATTTAGACAAGTTTAATATCATGGATTGAAGTCATTCAAACTGTTGAAAGCTATCCAAAAGTTTAATTTGTATTTTTACCTTTTAAAGGCAAAAATAGTCCCAAATAGACATAAACGTAACTTTTTCACCCATATCAACAGTAGAAACCAAGTTCAATCAATCGAACAAGTTTAATATCAAGTATTGAAGCTATCTGAACTGTTTAAATAGAACAATA